CTGGTAGTAAGGAGAATTACTAGTTTGATCTAGGAGTTAAAGGGTTAAGGGTGTGGAAGTTCTAACTTCCATATAATTGCACAAGTAGCTCATATTATCAAAAGGGAGGTCATTGTGGTAAGATTGTGCACAGCCCCATCCTTCATTATGCATAAAGTTCTTGGATGAAGAAAACAGTGGGGAAAACCATAGATTGCCTTTGGGACTACAGCTTTGTTTTACAGTAGTATGGGGCTGTGCAGAAATCTTAACACCATTCTCCTAAGTAAGCAACAGATAGAAACACAGAGCATGTTTATTGAATTGAAAAACAAACACTTCTAAAATATTGCCAGCAATGGTCAAGGAGGCTGTTATGGCAGAATGTAATAGTCATCAGGTTATAATGGTCATAGAGAGAAGATAGTTTTATGCATTCAAAGAGATGCAACTGAGACTAAATTTGTGCATCTTTTTGTAAATTTTGAGGACATGCAGTTAGATGAATCACTGCTGTCAGAAAGTATTTGGTGGTGATGTGAACTTTTAGTTCGTTCCATCATCAATGTTGTAATTAGTTGTGTTTTTATTATACTCTTGTGCAATGTTGGGGTCATGCATTTATTACTTCACTATTTATAAGAAATCTGTTCACTTTGAAAGTTTACCTGAATTTTGAAGGGTTTCTTGGTTGCAGAAATATATTTTTGTTCCAGAATTGTACAGTCTTTTATAAATTGTTAATTTGATACTAACTAAAGATTTTTCTTTTGCGTCATTCCACAGTCAAAAATAGCTGTGTTCAGAAAAGACTCAAAAGTTCTTCCAAGGTTTGTTTCTAGAATTTGGCTGATATAAACAGTTTGTTCATATGGTATGATTTTGTTTCTGATTTCATTATATCTACTGTTAACCTTAAACATTCATGAGTGGCCAAGAGAATTTCTCCTCACAATATATCAACTATGGGATCATTAGATAGTTGATCCAATGCTGAATTCTCCAAACTAACTTTAAAAGAATGGTTTGGCAGACAGTAAGGAGAATTACTAATAAATGAGATCTTGAGAGGGAAAGGATTGTTAATACACTGAGTGCCATGAGATGCATGTAATTCCATATGTTTTTAGGAGTAAACCTTTGATACCTTCTTTACTGTTAACAGCTTGGGTGACCCAGGAATTGATTGGGAAGAATCTGTTTATCTCAACCTGATTTTGCATCAAGTAAGAAATAAAAGTTTTTTTGAATTTTGAAATTTACTTCATTTGCATTATCATCTGAGTTTGCTTATGTGCAAGGTACAGTGCCTTAGTAGTGAGAGTACTCATTGCTACAAGAGCAGCATTAAGATGATTCCTCAGTATTGCACTGCGCATCCTGTACTGCACATAAAAATCATGTAATCAGGGAAATAAGGGTGAGCGCAATCCAAAAACATGGTTATCATTGTTTTTAAATCAATGGACCAGGTTAAGAGATACAGTGCTCTTTACCTCTTGAACAAGCACAATGACCTATAACTTTTATTGCTTAATTTCTGTGTACAAATTATCCCCTATATATTGAAGAAATTTTAAAAAAATTCATTTAAGGGGAAAAAAGGTATTGCTAAAAGTGTGCACAAAGCCCTTTACTCAAGGATGCAAATTAAGATCTTGAAAGCAATGAGGTGAGGAACGTTTTGAGTCAATGTCGTTTGAAATTGTGTAATTTTTCCTTGAGACTTTCTCCCTAAGATATCAAGTTTTTTTCAAGTGTTACCTAAAATTCACTTGCTTCCAGCCAACATAAAAATGTACTGTGAAACAATGAAATGACATATGTGATAAGTACTAGCAAAGGCTCTAATGGGGCAAGTTTGGCCCATCATATCTCTTAAACAAGTCAGGTGACTTATCTTTTTCATAATTGTATATTTCGAAACAGGCATTGGTAGAACATTTAAAGAAAGTTACAAAAAAAAAATTGTGCAATAACTTTTTTTTTCTGAGGAATCAAGCTTAAGATTGAGGTAATGTCAGTAATCCAAGCTGCCACCATTTTGGCTGAATTCAAAGTGAGATAAACATTTTCCAATTTTCAGTTGCCACTGAATATATTGTTATGCTTAATACAGAACCCTAAGACCCATGTGAATGGGATTAAGCGGGGATTGGAGATTAAAAAATGTCCAAAATTCACCTTCTTGAGGGATAATGAATACCAACGGTTTTCTTTCTGGTATATTATTGACTTGAAGAATAATTACACTGTTAGTATTGACTACTTTGTTTTCCTTGAAACACTTGAAATAAAAATTTGTTTGTTATGCTTATGATGTGCCATTACATTTGGTGTTTATTTTTTGTGCAGTTTGAATACACACTGACCTGTGCAATATGTACAAAGCCTCAAGAGAAAGAAATGAGAGTACTCAGTAGAATATCACAGGTCAGTACAACTCCAAAACAGAATCAACATCTATTTTTATACTTGCAAATTTCTTTATTTGACATGAAGATCAAAAAGTTTGCCACAGATTTTGTTGCAACTCAATAATGTCCCTAAAAGACTGAATATTGTTTCTGTAATTTAAATCCACAGAAGGTATATGCTTCACCGAATCGAAGGAGGTGAGTTACTTCAGTCCATTTGAACTTTGAGATTGGAGAGAAGCAAAGGGAACCCAATTGAGAGAAGTCCTTTAAAAAAATGGGATAGTGCAATAAGAAGTGGTAGACTTTTTAGAGCAAAATTTAGGGCAAGTGTTGTATGGCAGTTGCCATTGTCTCTAGTTTTGAATTATTTACAGACTGAACTTAAAATGATCAACATTAATTTTATAAAGACTTTGAGATTCCTTTTGATTCTCATACAATTCTGATGTCTGTAAAGTGTGACACCTCTTTTTCTTGAATTCAGAATGGATTCAAAAGGAAGTTCTGCTGAAATTTCATACCCTAACATATTTTTTATTCTGGACAATTTTGAAGAGGTAAATAACAATCTTGGTTACTTTATATCTGGCTCTACCATTAAAAATGCCATCTACCATGACAATAACTGAAAATTTTTTTGTTTTGTGATAGACATTCCGAGACTTTGCACTACAAGAAAATGAGATGGTTTGTGTGGAATTGGTTGCTAAAGATAAGGTATTGCTTTTGAAATCAACATTCAAACAATTGGTTTACAAATGAAGATGTAAAAATCACTCTTGGCCTTATTCAACTTTAACACACTAAAAGTGGCTAGAGAGAGTCCTTACATTCTGTCACAAACACTTGAATCAGATTTCTCTATTAATTTGTTTCCAGACTGAATCAGTGGAAGGAGTTATCTTCCTAGGATCAATAAGATATGAATCACTCAAAAAAGTTTATGATGGGCGAGTAAGTATACAGCACAGTAATTATTTTATATATTTCATACCCTTTTCAAAACCCTTTACACTACATTAGTATGCATATTCTCTATACTGTTCTCCATACATTTCCCAAGGTGCTGACAAGGAGAATTTGTTGAACAATCAAGAGTTTCTTTAGTCAGTGATCATTTTCCTTTTTCTGGTGACCTTTATGTGTAATTCACTGGGGTATATTGTAAAGAGAAATTACATGCCAATCACTCTCAAGGGTCAAAGAGTTTAATGATTTGTTACACCCTAGAAACCCTTGAGAAAGACAAGACAAGACAAGCCTATGGTTTAATCATTATGATCTGTGTTGTGTCTTTGACCCAGGCTAGTGTAGCCAGTAAGGTTGCTCGCAAAGTTTCAATGGGTTGGTGGAAAGGTCCAGCTAACGTAGAGTTCATCAAGATGAAAGGTCCAGGTGGAAAAGGCCATGCAGAGATGGCAATTACACAACACAGAGGACTGGAGGAGAGAAGTGGTTTAGAGGACTCTGAAAATAGTGAATGGTATGTTACAGTGTAGATAAACCCTTTCCCTCCTAAGATCTTACTTTCAAATGTCTGTTGTGCATTTTCTATAATTTAACTTGGAGAATCTGTTCTTAACCCTTTAACTCCCAGAAGTGATCAACAAAAAACTTCTCCCCATAAGATCCTTACATTATCCAGCAAATAAGTGATGCGAATATTCAAACTTATCAGTTAGAAGTTGTTATCTTGATCTAACACCAAGTTCTCATTACTAATTTACAAGGAAATATGTAGCAGCTCAAGGGGAGAATTAACAATTTGATCTTGGGAGTTAAAGGGTTAATTCAAGCACAACTCCCAACATTGATGTTCTTTCTTCTCAGCACCTTTCTGCTTGACATTGTATTGTTACTGTAAGGAGAAATTATTTGTTGGTCACCATAGGGAGTCAAAGGGTGAATGCTTACAAGTATAGCGGTCCATTTGGTTGGAGAGAAATATGGAATGGGATGCTTCTCTATCACTATTTTAATTTCAAAAAAAAAAAGAAAGAAAGAATGAATGGTGATGAAATCCTCATAGCTTGTTACAGGAGGACCAAACAAAGAATGACAACTTTCTGGCTCTAGTTGTTTGAAGGGTGAATAACTCTATCCACTAGATAAATCTCTATCTGTTGGATGGTACAGTATGTTTTTTAAGACTTATCCACTAGACAGTGATTTATCTGTTGGATAGCAGTATCTGCCCTTTGAACAACTGGGCCCTGACTGTTAGATTTAGTCACCAATTTTTTTTTTACGCTTACCATTGCAACCAAAAGGTCACAGGTTGGAGAGTTTTAAGTTTTCAATATTGGAGAAGTTAATATTTTGATTTTGAAATATTCATGATAAGTCTAATTCGCATTTGTTTCTTTGTCCTCAGGAGAACATGTGCTGAGTGTGGAAATACAACTTTTTCCTCTTCAACTTTTTCCTCCTCGACAAACCACCAAGTGCCAGTTCAAGATGAAAAATGCTACAATTGTGGTGTAGAGTCCAGATGGACCACAGATCTCGATGGTGCAAAATACGGTGATACAAGTCAAGACAAAAAGAAAAAAGGTTTAGCATAGCTGTTGAATCAGAAATACTGTTTTTTGTTGCAAGATGTAGGTAGTTTTGTTGCATAGATACTAAATTAAGTGAAAAAAGGTGAAATAAGAACAAATAAATCAGAATAATTAGGTTCTAAGGTAAGCTTTTCTTTCAATTGTCTTCCCCTTAAATGTCTACTCTTTGTTAGTACCAGTCTGTAAGGTTTTTTTTTTTTTCATTTTCTTGTCACTGCACTGCATTACGCAGAGTGTTACCAAATATGACAGAGGCTTTTAAATGATGTAAAGCACTGATTTTAAATTTTGGCATGAGTAACCAAGCTGTTCAGTTCTGATGAGTTTGATTTTTTCTTTGTTGCCTAGCAGGTCTATTGTCATCATCTCAGCAATGGGTGAAACTCAGGTATGCTCTGATGTATAGTATACAATGTGTTAAAGTTCTGGCAATCTTAGTTAATGGATATGTGCCTTTAAAAATAATGTGTCAGTGGAAAACAGTCACTGGAACACTACAGACCTTAATATTGTACCAGGTAATATTTTATTTTTTATTTTTTTGCAGAAAAAAATCCCTTAACGGTGTTGCACTCTCTGCATATTTAACATACGTGACACTACCATGGAATAAAATTATGAAAGGTCAGTTTTCTTGTATGCCAACTATGAAGAGTTTCTAGTATGATAAACTAAATAGGACCTGATTGGTACTCACTTATGATCTATTGGAGGACAGAGGCATAGATGACATCACCATTACCAACTGTTTTTTTCCTCTTTATCATGCAAAACAAATAAATTCCATGTTGTGGTGCATCTCTACATGAGTAGATCACAGAAGACATCCAAATTTGGTAAGAACATCAATGACATACTTGGTTGCACCTGATTTGCCATGGTTCTTACCACACTTTTACCATAACTTGATCTATAACTGAACAGATTTGCAGCAACATGAATTCTGTTTGTAATCAGCTGAATATAGTTCTAAGCCAGAGGCATTTTCAATTGAGAACTTATTGATTTCTCATAAATTTGTTTTTAGTTGGCTGTTGGTTTTTTTTTCTCTCATGGTGACATTTTTTAATCTTTATTGCAGATATTTTGGAAGTGAGGCAACCTCCTATATTATCTTAGTATTAAATCAAATAAATCAGTCATACGGTTTATGTACAAATTCTAAATTATTTATCTACGTGCATTGCCAAATATAATCACCCCTGTTGACACAACAATCTCGTGCTGCTGAAGGCACCTTATGTTATAATTTTCAGACAATGCTTCAAACCTTCCTTTTTCTAACAAGAGAATCTGTATATGTCTTAATGGTGTTATGTGAAAGAAATGGTTTGAGTCTGCCACATTGTCAGTTAACCTTTTCACTACCAAAATCTCATTCTTTTGATGTTAGTCCTGAGAATTTGGTAGTGGATCAACTAATAATCCCCTAATTAATATTTTTCTTTCTCTCTTTTCTTGTTGTCTTGATTTTGTATTGATATTGTTGGAAGAAATTCTGTCTTTGTCAATAGTGGAAATTAAAGGGTTAAAGCCCTCCGAAATGTGGTACATGTTTTACAAGAGGTCCATGGCATTTTTGTTGGCAGCTTAAAATGCATATTTGCTAATGCATCTATAACTTCCTAGGTTGCATGTTATCAAAAAGCACATTCAATCATATATATAATTATGTATAGAAAGAAATCAATATTTTTTATATGGATAGCAACCTTCTAATTACCATCTGCAGTGCAGTGTCTACTTTGTATTTACCTCTATTTATAATATGCCTAGAATGCATAACTGAAAATGCTGTATGTACACTTATTGATGTTAGAGAATCAGATAAGTGCAGCAGGAAGAACTGAAAGAGAAAGCATTAGTGAAAACAGTTATGTTAACCCTTTATTCCCTAACAGTATTGGTTTTCCCCTTACTCTTCTCTATACATTCCCTTTGGTGCTGACATGGAGAATTTTTTAAACAATCCATGCTTCTTAGGTTGGCAAACATTTCTTATATTCTCATGATCTTATTAAATGACTTAGCAGTATTTCTGTAAGGAGAAATCAGATGTTGGTTACTCTTAGAAAGTGATCGTCACTGGCCATAAGAAAGAAAAAAACCTGTTTCAGGCATTCAATTAGTAATAGTACACAGCATGAAAGTAGTGGCAGAATGAGATGAAGCAGGAGGGTTTAATTACCTGGCCTTACAAACTTATACTACCTTACCCTTTCCTCTTTTTATGACCTGACCCAAGCTGTCGCTACTTTAGTGCCATTTACTGTTGTGTGAACTGATGGCCAGGAGCAAACTGACATCAAAAAGGGAGAGACCAGCCTGTGTGATCAAGCAAATAGCTTTGTTTTGGATAAGAGTAAGGCCAGACACTGGTAGATCACTTGTGAAGTGATTTATATTGTTGGCCAGTTCTGGGAATTATAGGATTTGTAGCATCTAATTTTGGTACAAGGTTAACCCTTTAATTCCCATGAGTGACCAAGACAGAATTTCTCCTTACAATATCAATCAGACAGATGATGAGAATGAAGAAAAATATAAGTTTGAGGATTTTTTAGTTGATCCAGTACCAAATTCTCAGAACTAGCATTGAAAGAATTGTATGGCAGATAGTAAGGAGAATCACCAATGAGATCATGGCCATTGAAGGGTTAAATTATCTCCCTCAAAAGTGCTTGTCAGCAGAATGATAGGCAACCAATCCCCCTCTTTCTAATGTCATTGGAGCATAAAATCCAATTAATGAATAATTTGTTCCTGTAGTTATTCACGACACATTAATTGGTATGTTTAAGTTGTGTATCAGATGCAGGCATTTTTAGGTCTTAAAATGTCTTATCACGGCCAGTAACATTACAATCAGATTAAGATTGTACCATAGAACTACTCTAGATATCATAAGCAATGAAAAGTTGTATGAAACAATGAGCAAATAAAGCAGTGTATTGCTTCAGAGGTTTCCACGTTTATTTCAACACATTGATCACAAATAGTGACTGGACCCTGGTGCAACTGGGGCAGGATCTCAATCCAATCCCAATCATATGGGTAGCAGAAGGGGGAGGGGGGCAAATCTAGTCCTGTAGTTTTGATAAAGGAGAGTAATCAGTGCTTTAACCTTCAAATTCTAGTTTTAAGTGGCATGAGCCAAAGCCAGCAGATAATAGCAACCATTTCATTTTACAGAGCTGATTAACAGAGAAATAATTCACCCATATCTGGAAATCAATTGGTTCTAATAATACACTTTATTTACAAAAATATGTCGCTGAAATAAATTATACACTTGATAATCATGGGAAACTTGTAAGATGTATTAATAAATTGAGTAAGGACTGCACACAAGAGTTTCATGCTTATTTATAGTGCATCACTGTCCACCAGTGTTCCCTTCTTTTCCATGTGGAGAGCCCAGATTTTGAATTCTGTTTTATGTCTAATTTATATCTAAATTTTGTAATAATTGAAGACTATGTCTCACAGTTAATGATTTTCAACCTCCTTACTTACTACACTTACTCCCTGTTTCATTAAAACTATAGGGAGACTTTTCACATTGATCACTCCTAAATGTGAGAGAGTTATTGCAGGCAGCAAAGCCACAAACTAACCCTTGAACTCCCATGAGCGACCAAGAAAGAATTTCTCCTTACAATATTTATATAATATCAACCAGATAAGTGATGAGAATAAAGAAAAATATCAATTTTGATAATTAGTCAAACCAATACTAAATTCTCTAAACTAACTTTATAAGAATTGTATGGTTGGCAGCAAGGAGAATTACAAATTTGATCTGGGAGTTAAAGGGTTGAGAGGCAAGAAAAATGGTGAGAGGGCCTTCTTAATCCTTTCAACAATATTCCTCCTTTCCTCTACAAATGGACCTTAAAAACAGGAGACAAAGTAAAAGAAAATAAGTCAGGTCATCAAAGTAATACAATCAAACCCTCACTAGGCAGAAACCCACGGAAGTCCCTTCAACACATCCACTTAGTGCAGCATGTCTGCCACTAAAACAAAAGTGATTAACTTTAATTTGTGTCTGTGTATGCTCAATGGTGCCATGCACTGAGTACAGTACAGGAGTTTCAAAGCTGCAATGAATATTTCTAATTTTTAGCCACTCAGAGGTGGGAAATGTGAGCCCACAATTATTTTAACACAATACATTGTCATCTCTCTGGTCAACCAAAGTGAAGGAAGACCATGATCTAATGTAATACTGGAAAGATTTTATCTTTATTGTCTTTTCTTTCAGATATGCTTCCTATTTAGTGATAATTACTAATAATACCTTGTGTAATAAAGACCCCTGGATAAATTTCCATGAGGAGAGTTGACTGTTGCAAATGTTTTTGCTCTCAAAGCAGACATTGTCTCACCTTTTGTGTATAAAGTCTTTCTGACAGTTTCTTGTGTAGAGATGACAATTCAGATGTGCTGAGTGTTGACTCCACCAACTCGCACACCTTGAGTAAAAATCAGTACAATACATCAAAAAGTAGTCACTATGAGGCTTTACTTACATATTATATTACACTAAACCCTTTAACTCCCAAGACCTCATTAGTAATTCTCCTTACTGTCTGCTATACAGTTCTTGTGATGCTAGTTTGGAGAATTTGGTATTGGATCAACTTATTATCCCCTAACTGATATTTTTCTTTATTCTCATCACTTGTCTGCTTACTATTGTATTGATATTGTGAGGAGAAATTCTGTCTTTGTCACTCATGGGAGCTAAAGGGTTAATGACGAGAAATCATTAAGTATCTGTCCCTCTAACATATAACACTTTGCCTTCCAACAGTAACCAAAGCCATATTTCTCCATACAGTTCCAATACAGTTATGGGCAGAAGGGTGTTGAGAAGAAGAAAACCAAGAAATTATTGGATGCTATCTGATTCATAGGATTAATTCAAACTTGGCCATAAAATTTGTAAACATATTTGCTGAACCAACCAGTGTGTTGTAGACTGTAATCCTGCTTGCATAATGAACTATCTTCTGGAGAAGAGTTTCATGAGGTGCTAACATGCTTGAAACACATTGTGGAGCCTGAAGGAAAAGTGATATGACAATGTTAGTGGATCAAGAGCAAACACTAAGGGCTTACTGGTTATGGAAGAAACACTTAGATGAGGCTAGTTCCAGAGGTCTATGCCCATGCTTGTGAATATTATGAAACACCATGATATCTTCTATGTGTTCCTTTACATAGTCCTTACCTTAGCAGATTCAGAAATGACATCTTTTAAGAAGCTAGTAGCCACTGTGAAGTATTGATGGTGGACATCAGTAATATTGACTTGATCACTAATTCCATCATTTTGATCTTTCATTGTTTCTTGGGAAGAACTGGGTGCTTCATCTGTTGTTTTACTCATGTTAGTTTCTGAAAACAGGATTTAAAGTGAAGTTAAGGATGCAACTAGGTCCTTTCCTCCATATAATTGTAGGAAAATTAAATTTTTAAAGGAAAGGCTAAAGGGACATAGCCCCTTCAATGTATGCGGAGAGGTGAATAAACGAATTACGGTCAACTCGCCGATGGACCAACTTGCCGACGCCAACTCGCCGACGTATAAAATCGAGTAGAGACGTCGGCAAGTTGGTCGTCAATCCAATACAACTTATTAGAAGTTAAACATACAGAAAAGTAAACGATATTTAGTAAAAAAACACTGGTGAACATTGGTGAACATCTAACAGAAGCTTAAACATTGGTGAACATTGGTGAACATCACCAATGACTATAACAGCTTAAGACGCGAACGAGTTATTGTGCGACAACAACAACGTAAAGACTCATCATGTCAATCGCTCAGATTTTTTAACGAAAACTTGGCTTTCTAGACGAGATCTTTAGTAAAAAGCATTTCTTTTTATTTGGCGGCGAGTTGACTGGTTACCGAATAAACAGCAGGAAACCCTTTCTCTCACCTTCTGCTTGATCAACAAGGCTACCTTCATGATTGTCTGCTTGATGATCACTTTTTTGTGCATTTTCATTTAACTCTGCATTTTCTCCATGTGCCACATGTGCTTTGTCTGTTAAAGTTTCTGAATCAGCATCTGTAGCCTTGATTTTTTCTGCATTGTTTTTTTCATTTTCTTCAGTACTTTCTTCTTTGCTAAAACTTC